GTGCTGCCCCAGAAGTTAGAGAGCTATAAAATACTCCTCTGAGCAGTACAGCACCCTCTGCCTACCTCCAGCCTGGCTTCGGTGCTGAGGTCAGCAGCCCTCGTTCATCGTCATTGCTGGAGGGGATGGGGGAAGCGACATTATCGCTCCCACTTTCTGGGGGCCTGTGACAGAGCTCGGAGGAGGCTGCCAAGGGGGCGGGTTAGAGCTTCTGCGAGAGCCAGGCTGCCTGAGTTCAAACCTTAGCTGCCCAGGCCAGTTCCGTAGTTACCTTTCTGAGCCTGTGTTCTGGGCTGTAAAACAGGGTTGCAACATTCCATCTAATCAAAGGTGCCACCCACCAAAATATGAGCACACCACCATTTAAACAATGACCTCCGAACCAAACCACCACAAGAGCCATGGCGACTTCAGAAATACTAGACGGCTAAGGAACGGCCTGTGAGAACCAGGGGACTCCAGACAGAAGACCCTCGCCCTAGGGCTGCTGGGCCCGGGCGCCTGCTTGGCACAGAGCAAGGACTTGGCACACGTCGGCTTTGGTTGTCCGTGTTGTCTCCGTGGCCCAGGAAGCAGTGGCATCAAGGTCGCTAGAAAGAACCCTGGCAGCACAGGGGTGACGTACTCAGCTACCAACCGAGAGGTCGGCAGTTTGAACCCTGCAGCCGCTCGATGGGAGAAGGATGTGACATTCTGCCCCCGTGAAGATGTACAGCCTGGAACCACGTCCAGGGCTACTGTCAGTTGGAGCCCTCTCAGTGACAGAGGGCTGGGTGCTTTGTGTAAATCAATGGAATCAATCATGCTGATTCCCTGATGTGTGTGTGTGTGTGTGTGTGTGTAGCTCTCATTTTCTCATTCTTATAATATACAGTATATTGTGTATATATCACATTTTATTGGTTTCAGCATGAGGCGCTCTGTCTTTTCTTTTTAATCATTTTATTGGGGGCTTGTACAGCTCTGATCACAATCCAGCCATCCAGCCACTGTGTCAAGCACCTTTGTACATAGGTTGTCCTCATCCTTTTCAAAGCATTTTCTTTCTACGTGAGCCTTTGGTATCAGCTCCTCATTTCCCCCCTCCCTCATGAACCCTTGATAATTTATCAATATTTTTTCATGTCTTACACCGACCTCTGTCTCCCTTCACCCACGTTTCTTTTGTCCGTCCCCCTGGGAGGGGGTTATATGTAGATCATTGTGATTGGTTCCCCCATTCTCCCAACTTTCCCTTACCCTCCTGGTATTCTTATTCTCATTACTGGTCCTGAGAGGTTTATCTGTCCAGGGTTCCCTGTGGGTCCAGCTCTTATCTGTACCAGTGGACATGCTGTGGTCTAGCTGGATTTGTAAGGTAGAATTGAGGTCATGATAGTGGGGGCAAGGAAGCATTGAAGAAATAGAGGAAAGTTGTATGTTTCATCATTGGTATACTGCACCCTGGCTGGCTCGTCTCTTCCTTGTGACCCTTCTGTGAGGGGATGTCCAATGATGTACAGATGGGCTTTGGGTCCGTGCGAGGCTCTTATGAACGGACCATATTTGCATGCTAGCCCCTGTCTTAGGGGGATGTGCGCATGCATGTCTGTTATCCCCAGTGGGGGATTGGTGGTCATGGGCTATGCATACTTGGTGTTAGTGGTATGCCAAGGAGTTCCTCGGTGATGTAAGTAGTCAATGCGCTCAGCTGTTGACCCCAAAGCTAGAGGTTTGAGGTGACCCAGAGGCACCTCCGGGTAAAGGTCAAGTGGTCTACTTCCAAAAACCCAGTCACTGAAAACCCCGGGACACACTGGGTTGCCAGGAACCAGGATCAACTTGTTGGCAACTAGTCTGCCTTCAAAGGCCTGTTGGCGGTTTGACTCCCAACAGTCAGCTCCTTTTGTCCCGAGATGCCAGGGGCTGGCATCGAGAGAGTGAAGCAAAGACGTGAACAGCTGTGGCCGGCAGGGCAGGGGGAGCAGAGGGAGCCGGCAGGGGGAGCAGAGGGAGCCGGTGAGGGATGGCTCCTGCAAGCTGGGACTCTGATGCCATTACCCTGAGCGGCAGGCTCGGCGCATCTTGGAGCCTGGTGTGATGCTTTGCTTGGCTGTCTGCTGTGGGGGTGGTATTTGCTGGGCTCTGGCCGGTAATGAGTGTAGGTAGCTGATTAAGAGTGAAATATCCAGGGGAGAGAATCCACCCACGGTCTCTGTGGTCGCAAATGCTTAAATGTCAACATGGTTTAATTGGCCGTGCAGCCCACCCTCCTCGCTCCAATCCTCCGCAGCCACAGCAAACAGAAGATTTGGACCAACCGCGGGGCCAGCCTTGAGTCATCCGGGGCTTCCCCCTACCAATGTATGGGACACCCCCTGGCAGCTGAATCAGACTCCCCACAAGTCAGCCAGCTCTAGAACTCACCTCAAGCAGGTGAAGAAACCCATCTTCAATTGAAGGGCAGAGATGGTTATAGACAGACCTTTGGATGGGGATGAGGCAGGTGGGTGATGGTTGGACGGCTAGATGGGAGGATGAGTGGATGGATGTATGAAAAGATAAATAACATTGTGTGTGTATCACTCTATCATTTCTATACAAGGGGCCCTCAACAAATTGGTGGGAAAATTCCGTTATCTTCCAACTCCCTCTCTCCCCAAACTTTTTGAAGCCCCATTGTGTATACCCATTCCCTATCTTATTAACATTGGGCAGAAATGGAGGATGACCACATCTGATCACACAAGGGAAGATGATTACGTCATGACATAAACTGACACATTGTATCTGTACATAACTGCCAACCCGCTGAGAACCATGGCCCAGCCCAGTTGAAGCAAACCCTTACCTGCTACAACCAGCGATCCTCTCTCCTCTCTCCTCTCACCTTGGTGTTTGTTACTGCCAGAGGTACCTTGCCAAGGCACAAAAGAATCAGATGGTAGATTTTCTTTTTCACTACATCATAAAGGTAAAATGTTGGAGAATACACATGGAGTAGGTATATTTGCACAAGTGTGTGTGTGAGAGAGAGAGAAAGAGAGAGCATGCATTTTGAGTACTTACAACATGTTAGGCACAAATAGGTGCTTTACACACCTGATGCTATATGATTCTTTCAACTACTCAGGGAGGCAAAACACGTTGGCTCCATTCTACAGAGACTATAACTGAGGCTCAAAGAGAGCATCTCAACCTGCCCAGGGGGACACAATCAGGAGTCTCGTGCAGCCACCACTCCAAACCCTCGGTTCCCAGCCACCATGCTAGACTGGATCTCATGCCATCTGGCTGAGGAATCAGAGGCCAAGGGGGCGAGAGATGGCCCCGCTGGGACAAGGAGAAAGGAGTGGAGATGGTGTTAACCTGGAGGGCCCCCGAGGCCAGATGTCATGATTTCAGCACCGGGAAATAGGTTCCCGGGAACGTCTTTCCTGCAGGGTCAGCAGTGCTTCTGAAACACTCACTGAGTGAAAAACGCGCCTAGAATGGTTTAGCAATGAAGCCATTGACAAGAAGGAAAAAAGCAAGCTGTTGCTTTGATGGATCTGAAACATTTCTTTTCATTATGGGAGTTCTTCTCTCAGCCGATACCTGTGCTGGGGCTGAGGATGCTGTCGTGAATCTAGACTCCATTCTCTCACGCGCTCATTAATCCCCCCCCCCTCCCTGATTCCTCCACTCCGTCATGGACTCCGTAGTTTCTCTTTGCAGTCACCCACTTGCTCACTCCCTGCCCTAAGGGCCTGCTCGATGTGTGCCAGGAACTGGCCTCCCCGCTGAGGAAATGAGCCGACAGGCATGCGGACCGCTCAACAGGAAGGTGCTGGTGTCCTGGCATCGTGTCCCTTTTCTCCTCTCGCTCGCCCCTCACCACCGGTCCTCGAAACAAACCCGATGAGGCTGACGGTCGTTGGAAAAGCTGTCGCTCTAGACAAGCGTCTGGCTTCTCAGCTGGCTCGTTGTGTGGACGCACCCTTGTCTGGAGGCTCGAGTGTGCTTGAGCTTGCTGACGACCGGAGCCCACGTCAGCCACGGCGTTGCTGGTCCTTCACGACGGTCTCCCCATGCCGGCGACTCGTGGTGAGCGGACGCAGCTGGCACGAGTGGCCAGTGGAGTGCTCTCTGAGTGGTGTCTGAGGAGCCCAGGTGTGGTTGACATAGGCATAGCCCTCCACCTGTGCCACGCTGGCATGGACTGACGACAGCTTCGAATCCACTTCTGGACCAGGCTCCATGCTGAGGTGTCTTGGGTGAGAGTTGGTGAAGGTCCTAAAGGGTTGAGAAGAGCCACCTTCCAGACCCCCAGCCCTGAACGTGATCTGAGGTCCAGCCCTGGCTCTGTGGTCTCGTCGTTGGCGGGACAGTAGCGTGTCCACGCTCATCTTTCATTCTCACTAACTGGGGTTGCCATCCGCCGGACAGCTGCCCCTCACTGACCTTGCCCTTTTGTTTTGCAGCCTCTGTAAAGGACGGACGCTCTATTCCGTGGTGAGGGACGCCAAGGTCGTCTTGGATGTCAACAAGACAAGACAGATTGCCCAAGAAATTGTGAAGGTACCGTGGGCTCTGGGACCTCCTTCTCCAACTTTAGAAAGACCCTAACTCTGTCTGAGAAGCCCCACAGAGCTCCTGAGACTCCTGGTCTGTCTTCAGAACCTAGACTTGGCCTGAAAAATACCAGGCCAGGCGGAAGAAAGGTTGTTGCTGCAATACAACCATGAGGGCTGGTCTACTGATACTTGGCTTCCGTCTAGAGCAGCGGTTCTCCACCTTCCTAATGCCACGACCCTATCATACAGTTCCTCACATGGCGATGATCCCCCCAACCATAAAAATATTTACTTGCTACTTCATCACTGTCATTTTGCTACTGCGATGAATCAAGCAACCCCTATGAAAGGGTCGTTCGATCCCCAAAGGGGTTGCAACCCACAGGTTGAGAACCACTGGTCTAGAACCTCATCCCCATGGCACTTGGCTGAATAAGGAGGCCAGAGGCATGCATGGGCTGCTCGGTCCCCATTGGGGATCCCAGCTCATGGGGAATCTTACACACAGCAGAATGAGACACTGCCCAACCCCGCGTCATCCTTGCCACCACCAGCAGGTCCAAGTCCATGGCTGAGGCGAGGACGACCGTCCGTCGTACCACCACGAGCCTCGTCTCCCTCCCCAGATGTGACGTGCTCCCCCAGAGCCTGATCCCTCCCAGTGCGGTAGCCAAGCCACCCAGTTCAGACAGTGTCTGGACCGGGTGTCCATTCACAACGCCATGGGCTACCCAGAGCCCTGGTGACAGAGTGGAGGATGTGTTGGTTCAAAACCATCCGCTGTACCTTGGGAGAAAGAGGGCACTTTCTACTCTGGTAGAAATGTACAGCTTTGGAAACCCACGGGGTCACTTAGACTCTGTGCCATAGAGCCGCCAGGGGTCAGAATCGGCTGGAGGGTTTGTGAGTTTGGTTTTTTGAGTCTGGGGGTTTCCTGAGGCCAATCTCCAGGCCTTTCTTCCTGGGCCTTACATCGGATCCCGTCCACCATGGGCAACCCTGCTAGTACTTTAAAATGCAGCCCAGCAACATGTTGGCAGCCGGGTGGTGGCCCTGCCCCCTAGACCCCTGGAATTGTGCTCCCACGAGTGCAAGCCAATCTCTCTCCATGTTTGCCGGAGAAACATCAACAGGGGACTAAAGCAACAGGGACAGCCGGTGTTTCCTTGATGGTCCCTCAGGGGTCAGCTGTGCTCGGGCTTTTACTTCCTGTGGGAAATGTTTGGCCTGAGCTGCGAGAAGACATGAAAATGTGGCTGCTCTTAGGGGCAGGCAGAGAAAACTAAGCTAGATGTTCACCTTGGTGCTGGGCTTCCCCAGGCCAAGGTCCTGCGGGGAGCACGGCCGGGCATCTGCTGTGGCGTGGATGAAGGCTGGACTCAGGAAATAAGTCTTGCAGGGACCAGTTGTTCTTAAAGGAATTCCTCTGATCTGGGACCTCCTCCCCAACCTGGGTCTTGGACAGAGGCCCTCAGCAAGGGGAGCAGACTTGGGGCCCTACCTTCTTCCAGAGCTGGCTTCCTTCCTCCACCACCAGCCAGGCCTTCGTGGCTGGAGTCCAGGCCTGGTGGCAGTGGTGACTAGTACTATATATGGGCTTCCTGGGAGCAGGGCTGCCGGCTAGGATTGGAGCCTGATGTCTCACATTGCCTGCGTCCTTACCTCTTACAGGGCATGGGCTACCTCCACGCCAAGGGCATCCTCCACAAGGACCTGAAGTCTAAGAACGTCTTCTACGACAACGGCAAAGTGGTGATCACAGACTTTGGGCTCTTCAGCATTTCTGGGGTGCTGCAGGCTGGCAGGTGAGGGGCAGTGGGAGGGCCCTCAGGAGCTCTTGACATGGGACATGTAGCAGTGCGGGAGGTCATCCCAGGGGCTCGAGAGACCCCACGTGGGGTGGGTCTCTAAGATGAGCTGTCATGCAGTTGCGCTGTTGAGCAGTGGCCAGGCCCAGCGGATTCCCACAGGGGCAGCCCCTGGCACAGCGGGGACAACCGAGGGGCGGCGTGGTCATGCACAGAGCATCCTGTAAAGCCCTGGCCCTTGGGTTTCACTCAAGGGCTCTTCTCTTGCCCCAAGTACTCAGATATTGGGGTCACCCAATGAGCCTTTGCTTTGGTGAAACACGAGCCCATCAGAATCCGTCTGTTCTATAGCCCAGGGGTTAAAAGCAAGGGATTGAAAGACAGAGCCACCCAGGGTCTCTCGCGTCTCTGACACCTATCAACTGCCCCAGTTGTAGTCTCCTGTCTGGGGGAAAGGTGGTGGCTGGGTGATGCGTGACTGCTGGTCAGGTCCCTGTGAGGACGCCGTGAGGGGATGCACACCCCACACCCAGCGCAGCCCTGGTGACGTGAGACACCCCACCCCCACCCTCGGGAGCTGCCTGGGAGCTACTGTGATTCGTATTCATTGGCATCTGCCTCCCCGGTGTCCTGCAGGAGAATTATCAATCACTGTTTAAGTCAGCAACTCCCCACCACCACTCAACCAGGCCGGCCACCGCCAGTCGAATGTGTGGAAAAACAGCGTGCTCCCAAATAAACAACCGACAACACAAAAAGCAACACTGAGTACACATACACGCCGCACACACACCACACGTGGCACACAGTACCTATCATGAGCATCCTCATGCCACCCACATATCACACACATTACACTACAGACCACATCTACACAGCCTACAGGGCACATGGCACATAATACATGCCATACACACACCTCACATGCCACACATACCACACGCCATACATACCCACCCACACATGTATTACATGGCCATATACGTACACATGTATTATATGTCTATATACACATGTATTATATGGCCATATACGTACATATACATGTAATAATATATGCTTCTCACACATACGTGTAATAGTATGTGCTTCACACACATATGTACACACCATCCATATCACAGATGCATGTGCTCACACAGAGCACACAAGATGCCAGGAACCTGCACATGCACACACCACTCACACTCAGACGCTCACTCACACTCACTGCACCAAGTCACTTCTGACTCACGTCACCCTGTGGGGCAGGGCGGCACTGCCTCGGTGGGTTTCCAAGGCTCTTTCAAAGAGTTGCACACATCACACATCTCTCACACCATACATCTCTCACACACCACACTCCATGTATACCACACACACCATGCATCACACAGCACATGTATGCACATACACATATACTCACCGTGTATATCATGCAGTCACATATCACACACACTGCATACCACATACCATGCACACATCATACCACACACAAACAATACAAATATGCCTCACAATGCGTGCCATACCCCCACATGAACAGGTTCACACCCACACCCTCCCATGCAGATACCACATGTAGAAACACGTACCACACAGACACACCATCCGCACGTACCACTATAACGGCCACACACACAAATAGACATCAACATAGCACACACCCTATCCATACACCCCCCCACACACCGACTGCTCTTGTACCCCTCATTGTTTCTCTGAACACACCCTGATGACCTACGGTGTGTCCCCCAAAGGGGACTCCACAGGGTCTCGAGTTTTACTTCCGTCACAGCTGCTTCAGAAACCACTGCTTTCTTCGAGGTGCCCCCAACCGCCCCCCACCTAAAGTGAATTCTGTTCATGCGATAGAATGCCTTAGATCTAAATCAGATCACCCCAAATTCGACAAGGCACCACCCAGCGTTTTCTAAGTGATGCGGGAATCAAGAGAAACATACTTTTCTTTCATATTTTACCCCACCCGGAAAGAATGCACAGCTACCTGCAAAAATCTCCCCAGACCCTGAGCTGTAAACAGAAGTTAGGCAGTCAACAGACAAAGCGCCCAATAAGCACGGGGACAGTCAGATCCCCAGAGCCAGGTGGGCAGATTGTGTACGATTTGCATTGTGGGAGGTGCGAGGCGGGAGACAGTCTTCCCCGGCCTGCTCGGGGGTGTGCTGGGAGGACCCTGGTCCATGGGCAAAGGGTGTAGTTGGCAGTGTCACGCCCAAACCCACATATTTGGGTCAAGACAAAGGTGGGCCAGCAGGTGTTTTCTGTAGCCTGATTCGGGGCTCTTGAGAAATGGAAGACAACGTTACTGCTGGTGGCTCTTCCTTTCTCCTTCTGAGTGGGGGGAGAGGCCAGAGCCTCAGATTCCCTGCCTCGAGACTCTCGGGTTTCGGAGACCACGGGGAGGAGGAAGACTAGAAGGTGGCGTCGCTTGGCCATCCTGACACTTGGCTCATCCTTGAAGCCTTAACATCAGCCAGGAAGGGACTAGGGCCACATCTCCCAGGTAGCACCACCCCTGGTCCTGCCTAGTGGCGAACACAACCCAACTCATGTCAAGCGAGGCCATGACCCTCAGCTACAACTCCTACCTGACAAGGGAGCCACAGGGGAGGTTCAGGAGTCACCCACCATCAGTGGGGCTCTGATGACAATGTGTCACAAAGTGCCCCCGCCCCAACCCCATGGCTTACAGCGACACATTGTCATTATCCCACATGGTTCTGAGGCTTGATGAGGCTCAGCTTGTCCCATGTCGGTGCAGTCAGATGGTGTCTGAGGCGGGGATCAGCTGAAGGCATCTACACACACGGGTCTGGGCTTGAAGAACAGCTGAGGGCTGACGGGGCTTCTTCTTGCCTCTCACTCACCTCTTCCCTCTTCATGTGGCCTCCCCATGTCACTCGTTTGAGCTTCCTCACAACGTGGCGGCTCAGGGGGACCAGCCTTCTTATAAACCAGCCGGCTTCTCCCAGAGCAAGCATCCACCAGGTCAGGCAGACAGGCCTGCTTGTGACTTTGCTTCGTAAGTCCTAGCACGTTGTTCTGACCACACCTATTGGCCATGCAGGTCACTAAATTCACAGATCGAAGTAGAGGTGACTCAGACAGCCCCTCGGTGGGAGAGAGAATGAAGAGTATGTGGCCTTCCTTAATCCGCCACAGTCCCAGTGCCTTGGTGGGGACCATGCCAGGAGGGGTGGCACTCTCAGGGTGCCCTGGGAGGCCCAGAGCCTTTTCCCTTTGGTAGGGTTGCCTCAATATTGCCCCGAAGTGCAGCACAGGGACCTCTGGGGACCGTCTGCAGGGATTCAGGTCAGGTCATCCCCTTTGTAAGCAGGCACCTGCAAACTTAAAATGCTCCCGAGCAGATAAGGAGCCCCCCCCCCAACACAGCAGCCAGAGACCAGGTACACCCCCTGAACGTGACGCACCAATAGGAGCAACCCGTTGGCAGCACTAGGGACTGGGTGAGTCCCAGGCATGCAGGCACTCCAGGAAACGGCCAGTCATTTCTCAGGAGGTGGGGCTGGGGGCTCCGTCCGTCAGTCCTCAGGTAGTCAGTCACGCAGATAGTCCACCAGCCAGCAGATCCCCAGAGAGGGGCTCCTGCATGAATGGTGACCGAACCGAGCTGCCGTGGAACGCACCTGTGCTTCAGCTTCCTCACCTGCAACCTGAGGGTGGGCTGTTTGGGAAGATCAGTGGGCAGAGATGGAAAGGGCTTCGTCGCGGGCTTTGTGGGGATCAGTGCAGGCTGCCGGTGAGAAGCAGTCTCCGGGGCTTGAAGGACGTGGGCTCAAACAGGTCTTGGCTGAGACGACGGGCAAGTGTCTGAGCCTCTGTTGATGAATGGGAATTGACTTGGTGTGTGTGTGTGTGTGTGTGTGTGTGTGTGTGTGTGTGTGTGTGTGTGTGTGGCTGGCCAGCCTGGCATACAGTGGTCGCTCAGCAGACTTCACTTACTTCACACTTCTCCCCTCTGTTAGATCCCTGGGTGTACTGCATGGGTCTCTCTCCAGCCTGGGTGTAGGGTGGGGGGTCACCCATCAGAAGAGCATGTTCCGAGCATCCTGAAGACCCCAGGTTTCCATGGGAGCACGCCCAGGCCTGGCCAGCGTACAGCTGTGCCGCCATCCTCCAGCAAAGGTGTCATTTAAGATGCCAGTGCCATCGTGCCAGCTGGCCGCAGGCTGTTATTAATCATAATAATAACCATAATGAAGATGATTGGGGCTTGTCACCGGTGGGCCCATCGCCATGGGAACGGGACACCCCAGGGTGTCTGTGCCAGGCCTGGCTCCTGGCTCCCTCCCGGGCCTTGCCTGCACACACCCCAGGCTGAAGGGGGCTCTGTGACCACACTTCTCTGCCCACCCCTGCAACTCCAGCCTTCCTCTGACCCCCGACCTGGGCATTTGGAAAGAGATGGATGTGGGCCTTTGGGCAGCAGCAGTCCCCACACCCCAGCGGGCATGGTGGTGCCATGGGGGAGGTCAGCTGGCCTGGGCCAGGGCCCCTCTTGCTTGGAGGACATTCTTCCTCTGGGGACTCAACTCAGCCCCCCACATGACCATGACGGCCAGGGGTGATGACCCAGCCCTATACGTTCCATCCTAGTTCTCACGAAGCGGTGCCAAGTACAAGGGAACATGCCTGTTTTGCAGATGGGCAAGCAGAAACCCAGGCCTGTCGACTCGTGGGCAGCAGTTGGTCCCTAAGCTTGTGCGGTCTCTGATCCCGGACGTAGAGACTCATCTCGTTCCTGATAACGCAAGGCTCCCAGGATAGCGTGGGGTCCTAATGGCCAGCAGATAAGGCGTGTAGACGTGGGAGTATTTCACCCACAGGCTGTGCACCGCTCCTGCTGACCCACGCAACCCTGGGCCCACGTCCTTACAGTATATGCAGGAAAGCAGCTGTGCCACCAGGGTCACTTCTGCTCCTCAGGGGACACTGGCCTTCCTCTTGGAAGCACACAGACTAAGAAGTAGGGAAGGGACGTGTCCACAGTATTTACCTAAAGATGATGTCTGTGGGGGTGTGGTTTATAATGTGACGGCTTTCTTCACAGTAGATGCCCGAAGATGCCCGTGGCAGCATGTCTGTAATGGTGAAAGGGGACCTCTTGGTGCCCACCAAGAGGGGTTGGCTGTGTACATTTTCCTAAATGTAGGAGATGCGGTGGTGCGCGGCCGTGACACACCAACATTCTTCAGGGTTCTAGAATAAGGTGACCAGATTTAAAGCGGGACACCAGTGACCGGGAGGGAGGGGTGTTCTTGATTAAAAATTTGGTCTATATGGACCAAATAGACTGTTCTCTAGTTTGTCGTTCATTCTTTCCAAAAATCGGGACTTTTAAAAAATGCCTCAAATCGGGACTATCCTGCCAAAAGCAGGACGTCTGGTCACCTTATTCTACAACCACCACCACCCACCCACCCACCCCCAAACAGGGCCCTGTGTCCTAGCTCGTCCTTCAGCCCCATGGCCCTCTCCTTGTTCACTGGCCCTGTGCTTCCGCTCTGCGTTTACCGAGCACCCTCTCAGCCTTGGACACACGTCTTACCCGTTTGGGCCCACTTACCATGGTCTGGGGCTTTCCTGTGTATTGGATCTGTTTCCTGCCACTGTCCCCGAAGAGGACAAGCCCCGCACTGGCGCCAGGCATTTTGGGCTTGCCCTCTGCCGACTCCCCGGTTCCCTGGGCGCTCCTGTAGAATGAGGATACCCCCCACGACCCCCTGGGGACCTGGGGACCATGTGGATTCCTGAGCCTCTTGCCAGACCAGCTGCCTCTGACCCCGTGTTGGATGCTCCCACTGCCCCTGGGAAGCCAGGCAGGGCCCAACGGGAGAAGCCAGGCAGGGCCCAACGGGAGAAGCCAGGAAGGGCCCAACGGGAGAAGCCAGGAAGGGCCCAACGGGAGAAGCCGCACAGCCGGAGGCCTGAGGGTCCATCCTTGGCGGGCCTGCAGCCCCCTGCTCACTCTCCGCGTCCTTTCTCTAGGCGGGAGGGCAAGCTGCGCATCCAGAGCGGCTGGCTGTGCCACCTGGCGCCCGAGATCATCCGCCAGCTGTCCCCCGACACGGAGGAGGACAAGCTCCCCTTCTCCAAGCACTCTGACGTCTTTGCGCTCGGGTAAGTGGGCCCCACCCCAGCCCGGGCTGGAGGGGCGGGTGCCCAGCCTGCCCGCTGCCGCCCGGCATGCCCGCCTTCTGAGCTTTCGGCAGGGGCGTGGCTGGATTTCGGGGTGAGACTGTGGGGTGCGAGTGGAGTGCCGCGGGGAGAGAGAGTCACAAGAGAGAGAGAGAGAGAGACCTCCGTGCCCAGTTTGGACCTGGTTTTGCGACCACGACAAGTCACCTGACCCATTGGTGCACGTGTGCACCCGTTTGGTGGATGTTTACGGGATGCCTGCTGCACACTGGGACTATGCCAGAAAAGGTGGGGCTGGGGGTGGAGGGAGCTGATGTGGGCTCGTATTAGTGATCAGCTGCTGCGTGACACCTTCCCCCGCCCCCCAAACGCCTTGGCGTGAGATAACATAAATGACCTCCCGTGTGCCTGTCCCTCTCATGACGTGATCGTCCAGATGCCAGCCTGGACAGCCACCATCCAAAGGCTCGGCGGGCTGGGGCCCCGCTTCCAGGGTGGCTCCCTCAGGTGGCTCCTGGCTGAAGGCCTCAGCTCCTCTCTGCCTGGGCCCACCACGGGCTGCTTGGGGGACCTCGCCACGCAATGGCCAGCTTCCCCCTAGAACGAGTGGGCCAAGAGAGCGAGCCGCATCGCCTTCTAAGGCCTCATCTCGGGCACAACCTACCATC